ATAAAATGAATCTAAGAAAAGGTGCTTTTACTTCTATGAATTATCCATTGTCAATCCATTTGATTAAAACAAAATTGACATTTAAATTAGATAATGAGACTCGACGAATCCGTGAATGTCGTAATACTATTTCCTAAGGATAATTTCATGCCTGAAAAAGAAAATCGGTAAAAGAGAGCAAAGAACTGCGATAATTATATCAATTGCATGAACCTGGTAACTGTAATTATAATCTTTTACAGTTATAATTGTGTCATTACGAGGTACACGCGGTTAAAGGAAATTCTACTTTTGTGTCAGACGGTGTCGTTTGTTTCTTATCAACCATTAAAAGTGTTTCACTGGGCGAGCAAGAAAGTAATTCGATTTCGCAGTCTTGCTTTAGTAGCAGCCCAGACGAAGGATGTACAAACCAGCAATCGATCTTTCATATCAACATTCTACATCGAATAATATCTTCGAAAAGTCCAAAACTCCTTCAAAACTATACAATCGTGAACACGATGATTTCTGTCGTTAAAGAGTAACACCTACAACCTTCAAAAGAAGAGTAAAGAAAAATAAAGCCGAATAGAAACTCGTTGACAAGCAAACAAGTAGACTTTCATGCAATCACGAGGAATTTTAAAGTCTAACGTTGCACAAAATAAACACGACGCGAGAAAACATAAACTAATCAAAGTATAACATCTCCTAATAGTATTTATTACGACAAACCTCTTACGATCGTAACTGTTTTAATCGCGCTCTTCGAAATTCAAATGTATATAAAGACCCGCAGTTTACCTATAAGAATAACGAACCGATCATTAAAGAGTAAACGCCAATACGAACGACGACTGGACTCGCGTTGCCCGGTTAAGGAGTTAATATCGAAATATCAATAACAATGAAATAACGATGAGGAGCAATCCCGCGCGGGTGAATCGTTCAACGGTGTACCATGACATGAAGGAACGTTTTCGGTTGGCCAGGGACAAGAATAGAGAGGGCAAGCTCGATCGGTGTGTTCGTCGTAACGATCGGCACACCGGTTCGGCACGGTGCGTCATAAATGACCGATGACAGATTCCTCGAAGCCATTTCGTTGCGCATACGAAATCGCCTCGGTCGGCGGTACATCAATAAAAAGTGATCGGCCACGAATAAATGCGCGCGACTTCGTCGATCCGTCCGTTCGCCCCGCACAGCCCGCCGCCTTCGGAAATACGTGATCGGCGAGTTTTCGACTTTCCATCCGCGACCGGCTCCCTAGAATAGCCGCGACTATCCGCCCGACGAGTCCATTTGCGTTTCATTACGGTGATTAAGGGAAACCGCGGTTTTTTTTCGCGACGATCGGTAACGAGATCGGCAACGAGATCGGTAACGAGATCGATAACGAGATCGGTATACGGTGGTAATCGATTTACGTGCTGCGCCGCGGTGTTATAAGGAGCGGCCGTAAATAATCGGCTAATTTGATTAATAAACCCGCGACAGGGATTGCAGTTGGATCATTTTTCCAACGGTTCGTTCCGTCCGAAACGTCGCAGGAATGTTGGGAAATGTAAGTGCCATTTAAAGTCCCGTGTAGTATAAAGTTTAATGATAACATTTTTATTTCGAACCGACCTTTACGGAACTCTTAACCTTTTGCCCTAGAATGCGAAGTCGGAATCGCGGTAAAGATTTCAAACTGATTATGTAGTCTCTTTTACAGGACATACCTTCTAACTGTTTTTGCCATTTACAATGTTTGCCAAGCAAAGTAGGCTTGGAAGGTAGAGAATATTCTTTTTCTTCCGTAACGTTCTTTGGATCGATGGTAATAAGAAAATTGGGAACCGTATGAATTAATAAGAATAAAACAGTTGTCAAAGGAATTATAGAGTACGGAGTAAATACGAAAACGAATTTTTGTCTGATTTTATTTCCTGTTAATTGATATTTATACCTTTGCGTTTATGGAGGCATTTGGAATTTATTTATTCGTATATTTTATATTGTTCGTTGTGTCTGAGTTAAATCGGAAAATGGAAAATTGCGACGCACTTATACATTCAACTGATACAGACTATTTACTGGCAATAACACGTTGTTCCCTCTATGTGATGAGATTGTAGAAAACGGGGTGCAGGAGTCTGCAGTCGTTTCATTGGTTAGCGGCTCGCGTTTGTGCCTTGCTCTTCCTTATTATTCCCCTCCTGTATTGTTGAGATTCTAGCTTAAGCACTACTACTATCAAGTAGCTCTTTAATATACCAAAATTAGCAACGTGATTGCAAGAACACCTATTATAATAAATTCTACCTTTCAAACCTAAATAAAATGAAAATGTTTATAAATTCTAACATCCATATAATCAAAAATTCGCTTTGTGTAACTCATAAATAGTGATATTAAACAAATCTTTAATCAATCATTTCATTCCATTAATCTTGAAACAAAAACGGTATCGATTTAAATTCCACTTAACACTTTATTGTATTCTTCACATACCTATTCTAGATAAAACTATTCCAAGATAAAATACTCGATACAGAAACTACAATTACACCTAATTTCCATTTCAACGAATCATTGCCAAAGATTGGCTAAACTCACCGCCTCATCTTAAATTCACTCCAGTCTATCAGCAGGGCTGTTTGAAAAACATTCTGATGTCAGATATTGGCCGCAGCATCGACGGAAAATGTATTCGATAAATTATCATATCGATCGGGGAGATTTTCGAGCGTCGCTCTTCTTTTCGAGGAAGAAGGGTTCCTTCGTCGAAGGGTCGCCGAGCGTTTGAAATTCGGCCAGTATTCGCCGAGTACCGTATCACGTACCTACGCGAGCGCGTGTGAGCACGGAATTCCACGTGTGGAAGTGTGCAAACGTGTGAGATTCGACTTTGGGACAGGCGTAATTTATGCACGCTACTGTGTGTATCTCGGGCCCTTTGCCGGCTTCGATCGTGGCGACTGCGATCGTAGTCGAGGACACGCTCTCGGAATCCTTAAACGTGCATCGCGATTTTTTTCGACTCGCGTTTCGCGTACGACACAAGTATCGTTCGTTTTTCCTTCGGAGACTTTTCACTCGTCAAGTACGATTAACGTTGGCTGCCGCGAGAATCTTGAGCGTTCCATATAGGGATCACTCGTTATATCGTACCAAAGATAAATGGTATTAGAAACAATTATTTACTAATTATTAAATATTACTAGACATTGGATTTTTATGTAAAATACGAATTCCTTGAAGTCATGTGAAGAGAAGTGGATAAGTGGATTGTAATTTATTTTCTTAGGAATCTGAATGAGTTGAAAATAAACTAATAATATTCTTAAATCAAATCAAATGGCAAAGTTAAGTATTATACTTTGAGTACAAAATAATTGTTTCCAAAGGTGAATAGAAATTCAAAGTGCTCTACTTTCCTGTACGTATGTTGTGCGAAATGTCCGTGACAAGATTAAGCGAAATACAGAAATAACGCACATTAAGAAGTAAATAAAATGGAATTTTTCATTTCTTATTCTTCCTACGGATTACTATTTCTGTGTATGCCGGATTTGTATAATTATTCGTGTTTAATTGATATGTTGATTCATTGAATACGCTAGGAATATCGCTTTCATGGAATTGGTCCATCGCAACTTTTGTCTGTATGTCTGAAACTTTAGTAGAGAATTTCCATAAATCAATGTCTTTTCAAGCGTAGTAGCATTTAAGTACTGAAATAGTAGCCATAAGACCATCCACCACAGTTGAAAATATATATTATATTCTTATTTTATCCATTTAATATTTGTCGCCAACTAATTTCTAAAATTCAGTAGTAAACAGATCGCTATTGCGCGATTGCATTAAACCGAACAAAAAATTTATTTTTTTATATCTTTCCTTACATCCATATTCTGTTATAATTACGAAACATAATATCCAGAATATACTTGGAATTTATACTTAAGGATCGTTGATGCAATATTAAATCTATTCACGAGGGAAAGTGTATTGGAAGGATCAATAAAAAAAAACCGTTTCATCAATTATAAATTGCCCGGTGTATATATTCGACTGTGTCAATGGAACAATTGGAACTCTTCAAAAGTATCGAAGACAACGTAAATTATTTTTGTTAGTCTAAAATAAACATCTTATCGAACGACATTTTCTTTAATTAGTTGCGGCCACCGCGGTAGCGTTTCGTCAGTGCTAGCGGTAATTGAAACGATCACTCCCATATCCTGTTAACGCTAACAGCCGTCAGACGTCAAGCTATAGTACAGAGTTTGCGCATGCATCGAATATAGAATTACCGCGGACAGTAAGTTAATAGCGGAATATAAATAAATAGGTGTTCCACGATCCCATTCTCGCAGCAGTTCATAATCATTAATAAATCGCGAATAGTAAGGATAATGTTCAATCAGAGGCAATGTTATACGCTTCATAAATATTATAATAGAATTTGGAAATTATTATCTGCATTCATTAAATGCAATAACTGATAAAGTTAAAACGTTATTCATATATTACAGTGACAAGAACTGAAGAAATTAGACGCTATTCATTTTATAACCAAAAAATTATATTAATTACAAATTCACTAAAACATTCTCTTTCATTCAACACATTCGTACATACTCATACAAACGCATTCAGTGTACAAGTTAAACGTCACTATCTCTATATAATGAAACCCCTAATAAAAGAAACCATGATCGAACTCTAATTTTCGTAAATTAGAATATAATATCTTAACCTACATATGTATCATTGCGTGTATATTACGAAACGTGTTCCAAAGAAATTTCTGTAAAACTTTCTGTAAATCTAATGTAGACTTCTGTATGTATATAAATTTTCATTCATTCTGCATGTTCAAATAATACAAAAGAAGGTTTGTATTTACATAAATACTCGCGATTCAAGTATCGATTTTCATTAACGATTATCTAGTTAATAACGATAATAAAAGAGACGAATACAAATAATAAATTGTCTAATTTAGTTATCGAGGGACTTACCGTGCCGTGATTTAGAAAGATCATGAGCAGGCGACGCTGGCGAGTCGATGCTACCATCGTCCTCGCTGTCCGTGAAGCTCGTCGAACAACGATGATTCGGAGTACGCTGACAACCGGTTGGGTACGCTGCGCCCTGAAGATGATTAGCTCCGGGCCCAAGATGCTGCGACAATCGGCTCTGATAAAGATCCTGGTGAGACGGGTAACTGGCTGAGGTGTGCGCCGGTAACATTGGGACGCCGGAAGTCCCGCTGCTGCCGTACATCCGCATCGGTAGCCATGCTCCGTAAAGACCGAGGGGCACACCAAATCCTAAACGATAAGGATTCATTAATTTCCTGTTCAAACCTTTCTGCGCCGTGTACGCTGGTTGAACAACATTTTTTCAATGGCCTGGTGCAATGCACAGAATAATTCAGGAAACTGTCTTCATGGATGACTATAACGTAGAGATGTTTCTATATGGTGTTACGTAATAAGATTATACTGTGAGACTCGTTTAGAGTGTTGCAATGAAGATTTTAGTGGATAATATAGATAGTAATGTTTTGTAGTAAAAATGAACGTTAAGCTATAGTGTGGCACATCAAACTTGAGGACTCTATCAGGTGACTGTAGAAGTAGATTTTAGATAATTTCATTATTATTCTCGTAGATTTTCTTTTATTCATAAATTAAAGAATGGAATGTGTATGGTTAACTAGAAATAATCTTGAACATTAATCTTTCAGTATCGACTGGACAGAATCTTTTGGACGTTTCAACTATTTTTATTTCTGCTTTAAAGCGTTCAATGGTGTAAAGTGATGCAATGAATCAAACGTATGTTGAATCCAGGGATTACGACGAATATTGAGAAGCACATGACCCCGTCAAGCAGGTATAACTTTGGACATGATCACGATCTTAATGTGACATGATATTCAAGTTGACATTTAGCGAAACCTGATTGAAGCAGACTTCGTTCTCAAAAGTAGGGCGTGCACGGTTAAAATAGTACCTACATATTACATCCGATGTAGCAAAAAGACGCTTTTAAAATATATATTTAATAATCGAGCAGCTGAACTTAATTATTCCCCGTCGTTTCCTACTTACATATTTCATGACCTCCTTAACGTAAATAGTTGAACATTCAAGTGATGAATTAAGAAACACAAATTTCATTTGCAATACCCACGATACAATTATATATCTTAATCCGTAGATTAAATCGTAAATGATCGCGATCTACTTCCTGTCGTTATCTACTTATTAACCTATCAAGCTATTGCTTTTATTGGGAACATTCATAAGTTTAAATATTGAACATAACACGATACACATTTGGTATCGTTCAATTCAATGGAGAGCTTCTTTCATTGAAACATCGGCGATATTCAGTATTCTAAAATACACTCTTAAGGTTTGTCATGTAACAGAGTATTGAACTTTCCAAAGGAAATCAGAATGTGCTTTGCAGCAGTTAAGGTACAAAGAAATGACATATAAGCGTTAAAGTAATGGAAACTATAATTAGTATTTATATAATAGTTGAACTGGTATAATCATCCATAGTTATTTGGTGATACCAATTAAATAAATTGATAAACATATTATGATAATATACACATATGATGCAAATTCCTTTCGATCAATATCCAACAATTTACAGAGATTAATCAAGCTTTCACGTGAACTTCAGTACTCCAAAAAACTTACTTCACTAAAAGATGTTATGTATGACTATTTACTACCATAGCAATGCGTATGAAATTTCTGTCAGTAGTTCTCTCACTGAATAACACTCACAACTACCTTATCGAATCCATCAATTTTTACGTAACAAAATTTCTCAAAGTATTCGGAACAATCATAGTAGCTTTAATTTACTCTGATTAATGCATTACAATGCAGCCCCAAACGAAAGACCCATAGATACAAAATTTAATATTACCAATTGCCTACGTCAGACATCGAAAATAAAATTAAAAGTATGAAAAAGAGTTACGTCAAACTTTAATAGAAATAAATTGAAAAGTAATTAGCCCAATGTTTAACCGTTCGAGTGCCAAGCGACGCGATCGTGCTGCTCCGTTACACCGCTTCAAAGTGTCAGCGTATCGGTTCGTAGAATCAACTAAGCTTATTGTTCGTTTTCATTCTAATATTGATTTTTATTTTCGTCATAACCTCCTTAGTAATGGAAAAATGGAACGATCGTACTGTTTAGAATATTTTTATATTAAAATAGGAAAGCGTAGCTCAGTTTCTGAATTGAAACCAAAGAAGCGTGGTCATGTCGTTTGCCATTCAAAGGGTTAAACATTAGACTATTTACTTAATTTTATTTGCCATGTCTGGTTTAGGTAATTAATCATAAGAACATTTTTTGACCGGGTTTTCGTAAAGACCCGTAGTACTCAAACAGTTAAAAAGCAATCGACTAACCTGGGGGTAGCGCGTTCGCCGCCGCAGTCGCCAAATAATGTCTCTGATAAAGGTATTCCCTCTCTCGATCCGAGTCCTCCTCGTTCTCGTTCGTTCGCTCTTCCTGCGTGCCAGGTTCGCAGTTTCCTTTCTGGGTTGCACAATTCCCGATCAAGCTTTCGATCGTGAACGGTTTCGGTGTCGGTCGTCGCGTGATCTTTGACTCCGGGATCGAGGACTCGAGTTCGTCGCTCGCGGATCCGACGTCCAGCTCCGTTTCCTCTATGTTAGAATCCATATTTCTCGATTGAAAGCTCCTTGTTTTATTAAATCGAAACTAACATTTCATACTCTCATATCCTATCAATGAGGAATCCTTCGATGCTTCGAGTATCTTGATTTCTGGTACAAAGGTAAGGCAACAGTCCTTTCAAGAATATTTGTATCCTCCTTACGTTGGGAATTGATTCGCGGTTATGAAATTAGATATGAATTGTATTTAATATATTATAAATGATTTTTAATAAAATATATTATTATAGACACTGTGTTTTCCTTCTTTGTTCTTCGTTTTATATTGGGTATTAGTGTGAATGTTCATTTATTTAAATACTATTTGTGAGTAAGATGAGTGCTCCTCTAGTTGTAATAGAATATGTGACAAATTTATTTACAATTCCTGTTTCTAGTATTCGGAGAAACCTTCGCTGCTTCGTGTAAATATTTTATATATAGTTTCCGTGAATTCAATTTAGCAGATATTGGTATATTCATAGAATACTTTCAACCGAGTGCCACGTCTAACATGCAGTATTGAAAAATCATGAATAGATTCTATGGTATGAAGTGCTGCAAGTTTCTCCAAGCGATGGCATAGGTCTTGATTTCAGTCCTTGCACTAAGGAATAACGATCCTCGTTTCAGAATATCATTTCATACATCGTTTTATTTAAACATAAATCTGTCTATAAATGGCACCTTTATAGTTTATCGATCTAGAACCACAATTACTTCATAAATCCAACTTCACAGGTGTCCATAAGAGGTCAAAGTTCACAGGTGATTTTCTTCCGCGTCAGAATAAGTTTCTTCAAACATTATGTCCGAGAAGAGCTTCGGTTTCCAGAGTGTTTCCATATGCTGAAGCGCACGTCGATAGTTGGCGTCGGTGATCAATGTATGATCCTTCGTTGTGTTTAAACATTAACACGAAGTCCTTTGTGCAATTACAAACATCGATTCGACTGTTCATTGCAACAAACACCAGTAAAACTAGTTTCTCCAATTGCTCCCGGATACTCCATATCAAGACCAACAATATCAGACTAACGAAAACATCTGTATCTCATGCCAAAATCGATGGAATTGAACTCCAATAAAAGTATACATCAAAATATTCATCACAAACAGTTCCATAAGACATAAGAATTAGCTCCAGTTCTAATTACATAATTCCTTCCAAATAATCCGTTCCTCGGCAACAAAACCAGCTGATACCAAAACACGCTGGAATCTAACGTCCCATACGAACAACTAGACCAAACAGCGTATCACAAACAATCCCGTGAAACGTGAAAACTATAATGCTCCAATTACAATGGTACAATCCATTCCAACTTCCAATCTCCTCTCTTACAAAATACAATACATATGCATGCGTATGTATATACCGAACGCAACAATCGTCGGATGTACCACGTGTCCTCCACTCGTCACCACAAACGTAAAGCACCGAACTCACGAAACCCGGTCCCGGTTCCCAAAAGAAAAAGAGGAGCGAAAAGGGAAGAAGAGAGAAGTGCACCTCGATCCTCTACGTGACCAGTCAAACAACGGTATGACGAATCGCGGCACTCGCGATCTCCATGCCAAATCGGTGATCCTCGATCGTTGCCATGTCGACCGAGCGCATACTTAATTGGAACCGGGGAGAAAGAGCGAGAAAGGGGGAAGGAGAAACAGAGAGAAAGAAAGAGAGAGAGAGGGACAGACAGACAGAGAAACGGAGCGACG